GAGAGAGGGGGAGAGAGAGAGAGAGAGAGAGAGAGGGAGAGAGAGAGAGAGAGAGAGAGAGAGAGGGAGAGAAACAACAGCAGCAGCAATACACTCTCTGAGAACTCTGCAAAATATTTACATCTGTTAATGTTCTTATTTAATCTTAATAAAATACTATGAGATTTTTTTAAAGCAAAAGCTGAAACTTAGAAACGTTAAAGGATATGTCTAGGTCAAATTGTTAATAAATAGTAGGCCAGAATTTGGGATGAGATCTCCCACCTCAGTTTTCCTAGAAAAATTGTTTTATTCATGCTTTCCTGATTATCTATTAATATTGAAGGCTTTCATTCTCCAGAAGTGTCTAGCTTTAGATGATAAATCATGTTATCACCTTAATTAGAACTTAGCTTTATCTAACTGAGTGGTCATATTCTAGTCCTCATCCTAAGACAGGGCTTTTAGGTCTTTCCAGTTTTCTCTATCATTGTTTCACTGAGGAAGATAAAGTGAAGGTGAATTCAGGAATTTTTTTATGATCAAGATTAACAGTTAAGCCTGACAGTGAAAGAATGGTCACATTCCTATAAAACACCACAGCTAAATCTAACAAACTCAGTTGGTTTGTGGTTGGCAGATGCCTACTATGGTCTCTATATTTTTTTAAACTAGGCAAATCATACTTGCAAACACAGTTTACTGCTTTCTGGTTTTGGTGGTGGTGTTCTCCAACTGGATAACAACAATATCAATATATTGGTCACTGATTCTATTATCTTTAGTATACTTTAAACAAATGCTTTTTTATACCATTCATTGTGTCCAAATTCAATTTAGCATAAAGGATACAATAAAGAAGATGCTCAAATTTTCGACTAGTTTTTATTCATTTAACAAGTGTGAGGCTTTGAGTCAGGACAATTATTTCTCATTGATATTTATCTAGATTAAAAAACTATATAAACTAACAGGGGACTCAGGATGTTATAAAAAAACATTTGACAGTGTTCTGCATGAGGTGAAATAGCTGTAATCATTTTTTCCTATGATAGACACAGTGCGGTCTCCAAGGCCCACCCTCTGCCCTTTAACAGTGGAGCAGAAGCTTAAAGATGTCTTGTGTCCATGTCTCTATAAAGCACAGCACTGTGCAAAGTCAAGTCCACATCAAGCAGAAATCACTGAGCAGCAGAGGAAGACAGAGGGCGCAAATGCTGAGAGAGAGGCAAAGAATCTCAGAGTTGCCCATGAGATCCCTGAAGTAGCTCATCGCTAGAGGTGCCTTGGTTCCTGCCAACAGCGTTTCAAACTCCTGCGTTTCTTTCTAATAGCTCTTTGTTGTCTTTTGCTAACGTAAATGACATTTCACTTCTTGTAATTAAGAGACTCTCACTGAAATTCAGTAGCACAGCTAATAATTACCTGGTTCTTTCTCATAGACCACATGATCGTTGGGGGAATAAATCTTGGGGGGCGATGCATCTTTTGGAGAGCCTGTGGTAGAACATTTTTTAAAAAGAGAGAGATGATGTTAAATCAAATGGCCTTATTAATCTTCTGTGAAGTCATGCCCAACTTCCTGGCATAGATTTTCAGTTCCTAAGAAGACTCATATATATATTGGACTTCATTCCTTTAAAGCAACCATCAAAGTATAACATCCTGGAAAATGTATATTTAGTCTGTTACTGGCTTCTGACATGGAGTTCCTAATTCTTTTTAATTTCCTGAGTGTTATAGTGAATATGAGTATCTTTTGTCTTAGGTCTTCATTATTTGGTATTAGTCCCCAGTTTGTGACCTAAAGCTTCTAAAACCTTTGGACCTTCTGGAGGGATGAGTGTCTTTGTGTATGCTAATCAGATGACAGGTGGTGGTTAGTCCTTAAATAGCTTCAAAATGAGTCTGGGAGCAGGAAAGACAAGCAAGGTATGATAAAAGTCTGGAACTTTTAGCCCCAAACCTCAGCTTGCAGGGAGAGGAAAGGGGCTGGAAACTGAATTGCAAATGGACAATGATTTAATCAACCATGTCTATGTAATAGAGCCTCCAAAATCTTAAGCAAAGAGGTTTGGAGAGTGTCCCAGTTGGTAAACTAACACATCCCTATGTGAGGCTAGATCGTGGGTGGTGCCCCCAACATCACAGGGACAGGATCCTTTTAGACTTCACCCCATGTACCTCTTCACCTGTGTGGTATTTTGAATCGTTTTAGTAACTCTAAAAAAACCCCTAGGAAATGCAAGTAAAATGATTTCCTGCATTTTGTGAGCCACTAAAAAGGAAGTTGAGGGAACCATCATTTTGTAAGCAAGTGGGACAGAAATGTGGGTAAACCGGGGCTCATGGCTTGAAAGTAGGGGAGAAGTGGGGCAGTTCTGGGAGGCTTAGCCCTTAAACTGTGAGATCTGTGTGAACTCCAAGTGATCAGTATCAAATCGATTTAAACTGTAGGAAACACGGTATCCTCAGAGAACTGGAGGATCACTTGGTTGAAAAATTCACACATTCGGTGAGAAGTGTTGTGAGCACAGAAAAACAAGTTTTTTTCTTTATAAAGGCTCTAAACAAGTGTACTGAGTTCCTTTCATGTTTCAGGATAGACTGTTTAACTCATGTCCTTGACTTCTAAAGCTCACATGAGACAGACTTCTCATTTATGTCATATACAATATAATTAATAGTTTAATGTCTTATTTCTTCTCTAAACAGTTTCTTTTAGATACCAAATTCGTACACAGTATGGTGTTAATAGGTATTTTCAATTTATAATTCATGATTATTGGAGCTATTATTTAAATCTTTATCAAATCCTCAGACTGTCTAGTATGGGACCTAGCTAAGTGTTTTAAATGAACGGATACATACATGGAAATTTTAAAGTAACATATATCTGCCTAATTGATGCTACCAGTTGAATGTCCATTCATGGGATTGCTGCTCTTTATAATAATCTGTATTCCTAAATTGAAAGAAAAACACCTTCCGGGGACTTTTTGGGGTTTTAGAGATTTATTGACCAGGTTTTAATCATGACTTGCCTATATATTAACCATACGAACCTGAGTTTTTACTTAAAAGCAATTTGTCCTTAACTCTAAGATGAGAATAAATAAAAACCCACCTCGCAGAGTGGTACGAGGAATAAACTAAATAATACATATAATGAATCGAATATATGCAGCAAGTATTGCATACTTTGCAGCTTTAAAAAGTGAACTTATGTTGCTTGAAAGTTAGGCTACAAAAGCGCCTCTTATCCCAAGCTGTGTCTATCCGCTGGTATATCTCCAACACACATGTTCTCAAATTTACAAAAATGGACACACTTAAGAACCTGCATTAGAAACAACTGCTGAGGTGAACATACGCTTGACTAGTTCATTTGACTTCTAAAATCCATCCATGTTAGACTCATTCATGTAGTATTTTTATTCTCCTGAATTAATCCCCACCCCAGCATTATTCCAAAATTGAGCAGGAAAAGATAAATGATTACAAAATTATTTGATTTGAATTTTATTTGCACTATGTTAAAACCTTTTTGTCTTGTAATTGACACCAAATCTGGTGTCTGACTAGTTTAAAAAGTCCTAACTACAAACCAAGGATTTAAAATGGCTTGCTCCACTAACTCACGGGGCGTCTCTAAACAAATAACTTCCTGTTTCTGGGACTCAATATTTCCATTTAGTAAAACATGAGTATGGAAAAACTTTACTCACATATCTTATTTTTATCAGGGTAGACATGGTGGTGTTTATAACCTGCCCTAGAAGCCACATATTCTAACATCAGTTCTCTTGATGTCTGGGTTTGATGGGAATCCAACTCTGACGAAGGACTGTCCCTTCCACTTCCCTGTTTCTCACTCAGAGTTCCCTCAATGCAAAACCATAGTTGAAAACTGCTAGAAAATATCACCAGCAAGAGCAACAGCAGTTTCAGTACATAGAGTGATACAGCTTACTTAACCCAAGTAAAACATTTTTTTGACAATAATATTAACCATTCATTCAGTGTCCAAGGCTTGCCTAGAACTCTATTAGCACATACGTGTATTCTGACATTCTCATTTACTAGATAATTTAGTTTCAGACTACAGATAAGGCAACTTGGAGGACTTGATCAAAGCCATATGGCTAAACTGGAAGTGATATAATCTGAACACTGCTCTGCCTGGTACACTTATTGTTCCCCCATATGCTTTACTTCATTCACATACTCATGCAGTCAACTAGTAGTTGTTACATGCTTACTTTGTACAAGGAATTGGTGAAGGCTCTGAGGACAGTGTGATAAACAAAAATGTCCCTTTTTATAGAGTTTACAGACTGTGTATAATAAAGTATTAAGAGCCAGAATAAGATTACCGTATTTGTCTTGTGCGTATGTAATGCAGGTCATGCTTACCTACCACCTTTACAGTCACACTCCTGGTGAGATGAAAGATGCGTCCGTGTTCTGGATATGTAACAACACACGTGTAATTTCCATTATTTGAAGTAAAGGGAATGAAAAAGCTCAAGTTCATGCCATCAGGCAGTACATTATGAAAATCCTTTATTAAATTACAATCCTGGAAGAAGATAAGATGTTTATGCCTTAGCCACACTCAGTGCAAATATAAAAGCACACATAGTCTGGCATCTAATTTTTCATAGAACATCGAAATAATTTATTCTGCCCTTTTTACAAAACTATTTTGGTCAATTATCTGGACAACATTTCTACAAGGTGGAATAAATGTCATTAATTTTTTTACAACAGGGAAATTAAAATTTTAAGCTGGGTTACAACTCCCAAAACAGAGGCTTCCTGTCTCAGGATCCAGGATTCAAATTGCTGGAACCCTGTGTTGACTGTGAAGCAAGGTTAAAGTTTTGAAATGATGATGATGGAGAAATCTTGAGCGAATCCAAACTCTGCTTTAGAAAACAATTATTGTAGGTTTTTCTACAGTTATCACTGGTTATATTAATTCAGTAACCCACTCATTCTTTCAGATTAAACAGCCTCCAATTTAGATGTCATTTGCCATTCTTGTTTTCTTCTACTTTATCTTAATTTTCAATTGAGCGGTACAGACTCTAGAATTTAAATATTAAAAGCTTTGTATGAGCCTTACCCAGATATGAGTGTATTTTTGATTCCCATACTATGCTACAATTCAGTTGATGTTAAAAATTTTGAGATTGTACTGTCTCACACAAAGTAATTAGTCTTGTTTTGAATCTCCAACTTTCATCAAATGGCTACGTGGTTTTATTTTTTATTTTAGTGAAAAATTCAGGATCTCACTCAGGACTAAAACCTATGTTGATCATTTACTTTTCAAAGAAAGACTTTGTTTAACCAACAAGGTAAAAGATAGATGATAGGAAACAGGGAGATAGGCTTTGTGGAGATTGATAGGCAATCTGGGGACAACGAAAGACACGGAGGGGAGGGAAAGGAGAAGTAAATAGGATCAAGATGCCTACGTGCTAACTTCCCATGGTGGATGTATTTATTCTGTATCCCATATGCTAATAAAAAAAACTTTGTTTTTCTTTTAAACATCATTAATTCATGGATGACACAAAAGATTAGTTTATCTCTAAGGTCCTCTAAATCTTTCAAATTCTAATCTACTGATGACTTGTAGGTTCAGTTTCCTATATTCATATGTGTAACTCTAATTCTTGTACATTCAAGATTTTTTTCAACTTCCAGAGCACGTACTTTGAAATAGGACAGTTACCACAGAGGCAGATTTTGTAATTCTTTTGCACCGGAAATACGTCTTCTGAGAATAGCACTGCACTTGGGTTGCATGGAAAGCTGAGGTATGATATTTTCTCAATGCAATTCCTCCTGTTTGGATAAGCAGTGCTTCTGGACACTTGTCACATTGGCAGAAGATTTCAATACCCTTAGGTTATCGCAAAGAATGAAGTCACAAAGGCCTAGACTCATAACGGATTTATGTCAGACTGGGTTTAGATTGAGTATGGAATGTCTATAGAACTCTATTTGATTTTGGTGGCACCTTTCATTTAAACAGTTCAAAGATATTTTTCTCTTCATTTGTTAGCTTAGCTGTTATTAAATCCCTGTGAAGTAGACAGAACAGAATATGCTCTGGTTTTATGAATAGAAAAAAACCAAAAACATAGAAGACAGAGATATCCTAGATAGCAAAGTGCACAGCTGTAACTCAGTTTTCCAGACAGCTGCATAAAAGCCTAGTACTGTACTGGCTTAACTAACACTGAATACCTCTTCTCAGCCATGAGCTAGCTGATGCTGTACAAATTATACTGAAATATACAATTAACATGTACACTGTTACCTCATCCCATTCTTACTCCAAACTTAGAAAGTTTGCAATGCTTTTATCTGCATTTTATAGATGCAGAAACAAAGCCCTATAACATTTAATTAGGAGTCAATGTTGCAGCGGTAGGTAGGGTCAAAACTGAAATGTGAACCTAGGTCTATTTGTTTCAATTGTGAACCTAAGTCTTTGTGTCAGAGATTTGTTTTTAATTCTACCTGTTAGGTTCTCACATCCTATCCAGCCACTCTGAACCTATGGGAACCTGAGGCCAACTCCCGGGCTCACGGCGGGTGCTGGGCCTCTGTCGTGTAAATCAGGCTGATTCCTGCAATTAGTGGTAAACTGGTAAAGCGTATTTTTCAAGATGAGACGTCAGTTATTATTACTGAACTTGTCCACAGCACCTTTTAAGAATGTGCTGAAAGGAATCTTTTATAGCTGTTTCAAAGCTATTAGGCCTAAAGCATTTTGGGGAATAGAAATAAAGGCCGTATTTTACATTCTAAGTGTTTATATGTGCAAGGAGTTAGTATCAGGACACTCATAAACTTTTAATTTTAGCGCATACTGGTTGGTTAATTCTCAGGTTTTCTTATAAGCAGTTCAGTCTGTTGACCCTTCAGCATATGACTCGAAGACATTGTTAAACATAATGAAGAAATGCTGAAAAATAAATTCTGTGAATCTTATAATGATTTCAGAACCATTTGTTTGGAATCCAGAAAAAAAAAATGGAAATGAACAAAGATGTGGAAACTCAAGTAGAAAACATTTCCAAAAATAAGCTATGAATAATGGTAAGTGGATTTCTACAAAGAAACAAACACTTGTCTAACTATAAGATAAATAGTCCTTCTAGGTGACCCAGCAGTTCCTCATTCTGAATTCAAAATAGAGAAGTTAAATAGAAGACCAACTCTTCAACCACGAAGTTGTTGCTGTGACAACCAACCCCAACATATACGTAAAGAACAGCGCAAGAAGTGACTTTGAAATCCTTGAGCGGACATAAAGCATATGGAGAGGTGAAGGTTGTTGGTAGGGGAATGTCATGGTGAAGTGAAAGATAAGTATTTCCCTTCAGTAAACCTATAGCATGTAAAGAGCTCAGTGAAGGCACAAAAATGGGAAGCTCAGGGCTCCTAATCTATAGATACTTAGTTTAGTGGAAGATTGCCACAAATCAAATAGAAGGCATATTGAGGAAAGGGAGTGTGTGAAGAAAGTTCAACTATATATACATTCAGAAAAACTTGGTGAAGAAGGAAAACCTGGCCTGGACCTTAAAGGATAAGTACAACATCAATAGATATTGGGAAGAAGGAAAAACATTAGAGTGAAACACTCCAGGCAGAGGAAAGAGTATGAAGAATTCATCTGCACTCTCATAATGTTTCCTAATTCTTGTTAGACTTAAATTACTTCATTACAATGCTCTGTTTCCATATCAACCTCCTTCACCTCTAGAAAAGTAACTGCTTATGGGCCAGCAGGAGGTGCGCAAGTGCCTCATCTGCCTGATCAGCCATCTACCCAATGTTTGACACATGGAGCTCTATACGTTTGTGTTTCATGATCAAACATATGCATGAAGGAAGCAAAGGCACAAGACAAGGAATAGAAAGCTAACAGTATGGAATGGGTATTCAGAATAGAGATTACAAAGCATAGAGTGGTAGGATTTAGGATGGATGGGAAAGAGAGTAAAAATTCAAAGAGTTTTACTAAAACACAAGCTCTGGAAAGTCAGGAGTAGCTACTGAAGCTTCTGCCCCCAAGATTATGTTGATATAAAATACATTATATTTTGTCATGAAGCCTCAGAACAGTTACATAACTCAGCCACTTCCAATAAACAGAATTAAGTCTTCCAATATCTATAAATATTTACAAGGTCCCTCCAATGTGCCAGGCACTGTTAGGAGCTGTGGACATAACAGCCAATGAGAACAGAAATGGCATTTGTTCTCATGGAATTTTACACTCCGGTCTACTTCATTCAATTATTTAATCAATTCCTAAGTGAAATATATATTGGGTCCATTTTGTGCTGTGTGCTTGGTATTCAAGGAACAGAAAGAGAAAGAGAGAGCACACTATCTGGCACGGAAGAGAAATACAATCACTCCATGAACAAAGATGACATGTGAATTAAATTCTATCAAAGTACAGAATGGGTGATTGATTTGGCCTCATTTAGCCTGCAGGCTTAACAGATAGTTAGTTTTAAGTTTGAATGGTGAATCTTGAGTCCCTGAAAGCCCTAAAAGTGTATATAAAATATGGTATGTTTAAGTGCATACAAGTAACTCTGAAAGACAATCTGATATGCTATCTTCATGCAAAAGGTCAGAAATCACTCTGTAGGAAGTATAGGGAAAGGAATGGGAACAAGAACCAATCTAAGCTGTCAAACCAAATTAAGGCAAGCATTTAAAAAAACAAAGCCTATTACACAAACCCTGGACTAACTTCCCAACAGTCCAAGCTATGCCAACAAGGAAGCTTGGCTTGGCACTTCATCAGAAGTGTTCTCTCCTGATGGCATTTTGTCAGAAAAAAAGCAAAGGCGTTGCTGTTTTCTGAGAGAGACTCACATATCTAATATCTGACCAAATCTGGCTAATTTCACAGTAAAAATTACAGGTCTGGGTAATACACCAATTTTAAACATCACAATGGGTATAAGGACAGTGTGCTTTTGGTAAACTGACACCAGTATGGTATCAATTTTGCTGACTGGCAGCTGAGAGGATTTTAGCCATTGTCATAAATGTAATACACAAAACACCCAATAAAGTGGTTCCTCTGATCCTCAGGGGAAAGGAGAAATTGCTTTAGCTTTTACTAGTGTTTCTATAAAATGGAATTTCCAATATCTAACCATAATGATGAGTTAGAGAATTAATCCAGTAATATGAAAGTCAAGATGGCTTGCCATATTTTAAAACCCAGGTCTCCAAATAAATGTAGTAATAATAGTAATAAAAACGACGACAATAACAAGATCACATTTACCTCTAATTTTACTGCTATATGTTTGGAAGTCCCTAGGTGCATAAACAGGCAGTTTCCAATTTATCAACATACTGTGTTCTAGAAGTTCCTTGACAAACCAGTTATTTGAAATTCAGTAAATCACTTACAAACCACAATTTGCTTTTCAGGCCGGTTACCAAACCTAACTTACTCAACAAACATTTACTGAACATCAATTTACCTCACAGGATTGTTGAATTAGAGAACTGTGAATTGTGGTTCCTGAATTAAGGAAACTGCCAAAGAGAGGAGGAAGAGGAAGTAAAGATGTGCAGAGGAGGAAAATGAAATCCTGTCCCATTTCCTCTGCAATTTTGAAATAGAAATATTAGGTTTTCTGCTCCCTTCAATGTCATTTTGTCAGAGCCCCCCTGATTTCTCATGGCTTGCCACTCACAGGGTTCCCCAGGTCCCCCACTTCAGCTCAACACCCAGTATGTGTTCAAAGATTCCCCTACTGTTCAAAGTGCCCTAAACTCTAAAAGTAAAGACCTTCCACAAGTCAGTCCTGGGGAGTTCAAGTTTTGGAACCACATAAAACTGATATGAAATCCCTCACTCTTCCATTTGCATCTTGATTGTTTTGAGTAAATTACAGAAAAGAATAGATAGTAACACATGGGATTCAATCTTGGCTCCCAGCCCTATGCTCTTTGGCAAATCACTCAATTGCACTCTACCTTGCTTTCCTTGGAAAACAAGAGAAGCTACTTCATAAGAACGTTGAGAAAGAAGCTGAAATAAAGCACCCAGAAAAATCCCTGTGTTCAACAGATGTTAACAATAAGTGTTTACTCTTCTAAGGCGCCATTTCTTTATCTATTGGAAGATGACATCCCCCTCTGATGAGCATTGCCAATAATACCACGTAAAGTGATCACACTGGCATGTTGCCTTGTACAGGACTGGTAAAATGTCTGATTCTTATTAACTTTCTCTTCATCCTTTCAGTACAGCAGTTTTCAACTTTCAGATAACAGAAAAACAAATCTGCTAGAACTGATTACAATTAATGTAACTTTAAACCTTTGTATTCCTAAAAGATACCATTCCCACGATGTTCGAGAAGGAATTCCCACAAAGAGAAACCTGCTGCAGTGGGACTGAGGTGCCTGAGCAGATGCTTGAGGGTGAGTGTAGAAGGTAGAAAACAGAAAGCAGTATCCCCACTGTTTCACAGCAGTAGAAAATGCAGCTACTGAAAACTGGTTTTGTTCCCAAGATGGAAGAAATCTTAAGATTAAAGATACCAGTAGGCAAAAGCAGACATAAAGATAAAGATAAAATAGGCAAAGGTAGAGAAGTAAAAAGCCGTATATCGTGCACCGTAGCAATCGTTTTATAACCAGAGGAAGAAAAGATAGTGGTTTACTGATTGTCATTTTTGATCACCTGTATACTTTCAGGCCATGCCATGGCAACTCTTTTACATCAGTAATGTGTTCTTTTTCTGTCTCTTTTACATACTTTATGCTGGCCTTCACCTCATGGACTGACTTAGCTGGCTTCTCTTCTCACGTTATTTCCTCCTCTAAAGGGCTTCAGCTATCATATAGCTACATGCAATTCTCTATCGCCTGGCCTAATTTTTCTCTTATGCTCCAGATCCACATATAGGCAACCACGACCCACTTAGCACTGCCAACTAGCTGTCTCCGACACCTCTGTGAAAGCCCGATGTTCATGCTTCAGAACTGCAGAGGAAACGAAGTAGGATTTATTTGCAAGTACTATTTTATTCAAAATCTAAATTGCAGATTGCTCATCTTTAGCCAACAGAAGACTCTAAGTCAATTCTTAAGTTATTTCATTAGCAATTTAGAGAAATCAAAAATTTTCACCATGACTGTGGTATTGTCTTTTCCCCCTTGAATTCACCCAACTCTTGCTACATGCATTTGGGGGTACTGTATTGCATGGTTATAAGACATCATTATAGTTATATTTTTAGGTCTTCCTGATAAAATGATCTTTTCATTACTATGAAATGCCCTCTTTATCTCTAGTAATACTCATTGTCTTAAGCCATACTACCTGATATTTGTATATCTACTCTAATCCTACTCAGTATTGTTTGTAAAAGTTTTCTGCATCTCATGTCCTACTAACTTTACGGCTTTATGTATTATGTGTGTTTGCAATTGCTATGTTCTCAGGTTAGCTTCATTTCTGAAAAAAATTATTTCCTTCACTCTAAGTTTTCAAGGAGTTGTATAATTTCTGGCCTTTTCTAAATGGATTTATTTATGTCTTAAGGCTGTTAGTGCCTTGTCCCACTCACTTTGTTAAAATCAGTTCTTGGGAATAACCTGTCATGTGTATTGCTCCAACTACTGCCCTTGAGGTTTTGGCTTTGGCTTACGTGGAGACTTAAAGAGATTCGAGGCTGTGCTGTTGCCACCAATGTCACCTTCCAACACTTTCGTTTATTCATTACACATTTTTCAAAGCCCTCGGGTATGGAAAAGACCACAGATGGATGGTGCCCACAAATGAGGGCAAACAGGGAAACACATACAAATAGTAAATGACAGTGCTGACTCATGGAGGAGCTGAAATTCACCAGATGAGTCAGCAGCTTCTGGATTCATTAAGTAGTAAGTGGAAATGGGCAACATTTCTTAAAAATGTGTCCCACAGGAAGTCAGCAGAAATATGTCAATTCTGGTGTTCCAGTGAGTGTAACTTAAGAAACAGTGGGCAGGGGCAAAGCAACATTTACCTCTTTCTTTTAAACAGTACCAAATACGGAAATGATGAAATATTTGTATAAAGTTATTAACAAAGAAATAAAAAAATCTGAGAATAAAACAATCTGAGTTTCTACATTTAATGCAGCAAATAACTATTGCCATTTTAGAAAGGATGAAATTTGCTTACCATATACCAAGTGACATTTGGTTTGACAGTGGAAGGAAAATACCCATCAATATTTGGACAAGTGATCTTCTGAATACCATCTTCTACATACAATTTTTCCACTGGGAGTTTCATAGGGGATTTGAAACAGCTATCTTTTTGAACAACTTCCAGGGGGAATGCAACTTTGCTGCAATATGTAGTATTTCTGAAAAGAGAAGTATGCAGTGAGTAGGTAGTTCCTTTTGCATTTGATTTAGCATTGCAACCATATTAAAATGAACTCAATTGATACCTCATTTATATGTATACATTTGTGTAAAAATCAAATGAGTTATGGAAGTATTTCCTATATCAACTGACATCACAGAATAAAAAAATAATTATCTATTCTTTTTTGGGGGGGGAGGATTGAACTTGGGACCTTGTGCTTTCAAGGTAGGCAGCAGAACCACTGTGCTAAATCCCCAGCATACCAAATTATCTGTTCTTAATGTATTAAACTATTTGAACTTTATAAAAGAACCTAAAAGTGTGTGTATGTTTAAAATTTTTCTCTTAAAATATTTTTAATATTACTCAGTATTAGCAAAGCAAAAGCAAGAATGGCATATTTATGCATAGCTGATAATAGTTAAAACAACGTTTGGAAAATAACTGTTTCCAGGATAACTGATAAAGCCTTAGGTTTTGGCCTAATAACCTTATGTCTGGAAGTTTTTGTTTGTTTTCCTGGTGGTAGAGATCGGGAAAAGTGGAAATGGAGATGGCACATTATCAAAAATGTCCATCCAGTGCCATGTTAGAAAATATTGGAATAAACAGAAAAATCAAAAATAAAATTGCAAAGAAAACTGTATTACAACCACTTAAAATTGTTGTCATCCCAATCAAACATGAAGGGCGAAAATAAACGCATAAGATTTTTTAGAATTACTGGGAAATTGTACAATGTTCTTTCTGGCTAGAGAGTTTCCCATCTCTGTCATCCTCTACCTATCCCATGTCTCAATTAGGGCTCCCATTCCTTATTCACCTAGGCCATTTATTTGACTAAACCGATCACACTTTGAAATGATGTAGTTATATTATAGATATCTATCAATATCCCCTGTAAAATGTAAGTTCCACATGACCATTTTTGTTTATTATATTTATTGAATATGCTATAGCATCTAAACTCTTGGCAGATTATGAATAAATATTGAATGAATGGAATAGATGTAAAACTTGTATCTATATATCTATATAGGGAAAACAGAATAATAAAAGAGAACACAGGATAATAAAATAACTACCTAGGAAATGGAACAGTGAGTCTTAACTGTTCATCTTTACAGCTGATTTTTAGCTGCAGGACCAAACTCAAAGTAGACATTCAATGACTCATAAACTAATACTAAGAACAATGGAAGAGGTGGGGCATGCTTTTCCAAACAGGATGGGAAAGGCCCTCAAGATTTTGAGAGTCATAGGAACACGGCAAGGGGAATGTCAGGTATGATCTCTGTCTACCAACAGAAGGTACACTATGTGGTAGACATATTCTATGGGTAGAAGTTATCAAGGGTATATTTTAACTTAATACTGAGGTACAGTTTCTGATTTTAATAAAAGTGACAACCAGTGGTTGGACTGGCTTTTGAAACTCTTAAAGTGAATAGTACTGGAGCAAAAATATAAACTGTAAAATACTGAAAGATGAATCTCACTTCATAGCTTAAAAGACATCCAGCCATGATTCTACATGACTATGTTGAAGGCTAGTCTCAGTTTAGGAATCACTGCAGGGAAATGGGAAGTTCTGTAGGCCTCCCAGCAGACAATTTCAGTTCTGGGTTTGCTTAAGATACAAAGATAAGCAGACAGTTAACTGAAAAAGACCATCTGGAAATTGATAAATAACACTTAGAGATACAAAGAGATCTTAACATTCAAGCAGCTCTACTCCTGAAACGGAAAAAGATTACAGAAGTTTGGACAAGAGTTTCAAGCAAATAGTGGGTAATTAAACAGGGGAAGTACAGATGCAGAAGTGGGAGAATGCACTGTAGAGACCAGAATCAAAAAGAAAACAGATAATGACTGCTTCCCGAAGATTTGCTAGTGTTCCCTTGGGAAATATTAATGGATAACAATTGTCAATGATGAAAAGGAGCTCAAAGAGCATGCAGGCCAATGTTCTCATTGTGCAGATAAAGACATCAAAAATCCAGATGTGACCGCGATTTGCCTAAATTCATCAGCTAAGCAGTGATGAAGCTGGCATGATGGCCTGGCTTCTCTGCCTGCTCACCAGGGCTCTTTCCGGTATAATCTGTTTTAACTTATATCGAGTTGTATTAGGACATAAGTAATGGCACATGAGTATTCTGGGCTCCTTTGGAGCCTATATGTCAGTCTGGAGTCCATTCCAGTGAAATTGGTGTCAGGCTAAAGGTGCAGAAGAGACTATGCAGGCTGCATAGACCAAAGGCTTTTTAGTGATACAGAAGATGCCCTCTTTATATAATCATAGCATAGCTTACATTTATCAAAACATAGCTATAATTCTCAATCAGAGAATAGTTAGCATTCACTAGAGAAAAAGGGTACAGGACTACTTATTATTATGACTTCATGGTGTTCCCCACTCCCCCCAAATTCATCTGTAGCAGTTCAAATGCATAGCACCTCAGAATTTGCCTGTATTTGGAATGGGGCCCTTAAAGATATAGTTAAGTAAAATAAATTAATAAGGCTGGGCCCTGAACTAATATTACCAGTGTCCTTATTAGAAGAGTAGGACACAGGCACACACAAACAGAAGCCCACACAAAAACATGGAGACAGCATAATCACATAGAAGCAAAGGAGAGATTTAGTGGGAAAGAAATCCACCCTGCCAACTTCAATCACAGAGACTTCCAGCCTCCAGAACTGTGCAAAAATAAATTTCTGTTGTGTAAGCCATCTAGTCTGTGGCATTTTGTTGTTGCAATTCTGGCAAACAATATACCTGGTTAAGGATTGTGTAGGAAATTATGTTAAATGAAAAAAAGAAAAAAACAGATGAGAGTTTAGAAAAGTACAGCCTGGTAGTTAAAAAGAGACAATAAGTATAAAGTAACCAAAGAAGTAAGACTTAAAATGGCTATTCTTTGCTGGGGCCTCAGTTCTTTTTTGTTTGTTTGTTTCTGTTTTTTTTTTTTTGCTTGCCAAACAAAATATTAATCTGTTATAAAAGGAAAATAGGCATGTTGAAGATAAAACATACAATTTACAAAGATGTCCAAGAAAAAAATGGATTTGATAAACTTTACAAAATGGTTAGCTGCTTTAGACTAAGTCTTAGATTCCTCAGGATGTGCTGTTCATTTAGTTCCTCGGGGAGTTTTGGTAGAAAGGTTTAAAAACATTACCCTAAATACATTTACTGTGTCTCAAATATTCTTTCTTCCATGAAAGTACTCTGAGAAAGATGCCAAGAATAACACAATGAACAAGCCCTACTCCCTGCCCTGTATAACTTCTAAGGAAACGGATGCCTGCAGGTGAGCCCCATATGTGGGCAGGTTCTGAGGTTGTGGAAAACTGTGACAGATGTCAAGGTCTGAGAAGGAGCCACTAGTGCAAAATGTTCTCAGGGGCACAATGATCTTCCTGGACCAATCTTCCTAACCCACTCTATCTAAATGCTTCGTTTCTCTCCTCATCTTTGCGGCCCACTCATGATGCAAATAAAGGACTAGGAACCCAAGAGGAAAACGAAAATTACTGCTGAGAGTTAAGCTACCTCAACATGCAGGTATAGTTTCCTGTGTCATTGAGGAGGGTAGGCCGGAACCAGAGCACATCCTTCTCCTTACTAATGCGGTTTTCAGGGAGCCGGAAGTTAATTGGCTCTTCAAGGTCTCGGTCCTGCCTAGTCCAATACCAGATCAGAGTGAGGCCAGCTGAATGGGCTGTGCTGTAGTTAAACTTCAAGAAGTGTTCAAAGAGTGGGCACTTGATTCGAGCGGGTTCATCTTCAAATACTTGGATCTGTCTCATGGTATCCAGTCCCCAGTCATCACAGCGTTCTGGAAGAGTCACAAAGGAAAAAAGGACAGATGAGTCACTTCACAGTAAAGGCCTTCAGAGAACACACTTTCTCCTCTGGATACCTGTGAGCCTCCAAAAATCATCTTAAAACACTACTCTTTGTTTCTCTCTCACACACACACACACACACACACACACACACACACACACGCATACGTATAGTAGATATATGGTTTTAGCTTTGTAATTTCTCACTTCAGTTGACATCTAAAATTTGTAGTTCTAAGCATCATATTGGAAAGGATAAAATTTGTGTCATATTTTAAGTATTGGTATTTTAAAATAAAGTGGTCACACTACTCTTTTATTCATATCCAATGGAATGGTGATTTGCCTGCACATCAGTAACAACCCTAAAGTCCTGTAAACAAGCTTTCTTTTAACCACCCAAAATTCCATACTATCTTTTCCTTGAACTTGTATTCTTTCTACTCTCTCCACACAAATTTTACCTTAATGGAATCTACTCTTATGTTTGATAGATTTAAAATTTTTTTTGAACTATTCTCCTGAGCGATATATAAAATGCTAAGTATTAAAAATGGGTTTATGATTACAGTATATACGGTTGAAATAATATATGTTACCTGCTTTATGAGTAACTGTTAAATATAAAATTTTATTGACATCCTGTCTCAATAATTTGAATGGGTTGGTTTTGAATGAGAGGGGTTAGGTTAGTTGAGAATTAATTATTTACATGTAAGCATTGAGGAAAGTTTCCATATCCAGAAACAAAAGGTCACTCAATTCTGTAAGTTCCTCCAGTAAACTACCTAGTTTGTGCATGTTAACATCAAAAAGACTCACTTTCAAATGGCAGAGGGTGGAGATACAGGCAAGAATAAAAATGGGCTGTTTTTGCAGATTCTGTCTTCCACAGCTGTCAAGTAATCATTAAAAACGGAATCTCCAATAGGGAATGACAGTGTTTCCCAGCTCCTGAATCTGGGCTGCATCTGTGGCACATTAGCCAAGACAATGCAGCAAAAGTCATTGTGTGACAAACCAAACCTAGGACTCAAAAGCTTTTGCCTTTCTGTGAAAGCAGCTGAAGAAAGCTGGCTAGTGAATAAGAGAACACAAGGAGGGGACCTGAAGTCTCCCTGCTGCAACCGACCACCTCCAAAAGCCTGCAGCCCACCCTCTCCACAGCTTCCCATGGTCGTGAGAGCAAGCCAGCCCAGACTAACTGCACCAGGAGACTTACAGGCTCGTAAGCAAAAATGCATGTGCCAAAAATAAAGGGAAGTTATGTCACTGAACTTTGTGACTGTTTGTTAGGCAACGCTTTTGTAGTAGTGACTGTTAAAATGACTGAAGAGCAGTTACTTTCCTTTTGATGAAAGCAAAGAATTAAATCCTTCTCAATTGCAAAATGATCTGACATTAAGTAAGCACTAAATCTAAGGGAAATTAAACAGACTGCCTTTTCAAGATTCAACAAATGAATATTTCTCGCTATGCTTTCATTAGAATTACCTTTTAAAATGTAACATGGAGAGAGAATTGGAAAAATAAAAAGGTTCTTTATATCAATACCTGTACAGAATTTTAATAAAATCTTCATCATACCACATTCATTAACTCTACAGTATTTTCATTAACATTGTGAAGTTACAGAATTAGCTCCTTCAGTTCATGAAAAATTACACCTATAGTTTTTCTGGTAAACACAATATATTTAATGTATTCATACAACTTCACTCCTTTGTTAAACTCCACTAAAACAAAAATCTTTGAGGCATAATCCCAAAAAAGGGCAAGTACCAGGGAAAAGACAATGGAAACATGAAAATGAACAAGTGGTAACCAGTTTAGCAGATTTAAAAACACATTCTAAACCAGTAGGGGAGAAACCTGAGGAAGAAACCAGTCTGCAGTTCACAATGTTGAAAAGATCCAGGAACTATCAGCACCCAGACAAGGAAGGAGTCTATAGATAGTGCTATTGGCACAATATTTCTGGTTCTCCTCCTGGGCTTATTTTAAGATTGTATTTTTCTGCACCTTTGAAGAAGAAAAGACTGTCTGACTTATTATGGTTAAAATGATAAGAGGGTCACTTTGTGATGACTGTTTTAACAGCTAGAGAATATTTCACCAAGTTCTCTTCTCCTCTGCCCTTGCAAATCTGAAAGCAGGTACTGAGCCTCCCTTAGACTTGGGTCTCTGAGACAATATAGCAGATCTTTGTTACTAAAACATAGATAATAGGGATTTGCTTGTTACCCATACCAATAATATATCCTAACCTGGCAAAGATAAATGATATCTCATAGTATCCATGGTTACAGTGGTGAAATAAAGAGGATCGAGTGACATGTAACAAATAGTCACATCCTTTGTTTCAATCCCACTCTTCCAGTACTGGACACCTTTCCCCACTGGGCTCAGAGGTCAGGGCCAGCCAGACCTTTTTACCTTCTAGGTAGGAATGGGAAAAAAATCCTCCGTGAGAAATTTAACCGTATTAAGCAGGAAGATCTAACAATTTCATAGATCACAGGCTTTTTAACACATGTGGCCACATCATCAAAAAGCAAAGCTCAAAGTTATTAACAAACTTCACACACATTTAGAATTTCTAATCAGCTTAACTTCTAAAATATGAACAAACAACCCAAGAAGACGTCAGAGGAAAATCTCTACAACAATATATAGTGTCCAATAAAATAAAGTAAAAGAAGCTTGGAGAAAATTAAGATTACTCAAGGCAAAAAAAAAAGTTTTAAAAATACTATCATTACCATCTTCAGAAAGATAAAGAATCTACTGCCTTCATGAAGCAAGAAGAGGATGCTATGACAAAGGAATATTCAGACACAGAGCTGGTTAAAATTCAAAACATAATTGTAAACATAAAACCTTAATACATGATTTGTTTTGCAATTAAAGTTGTGGATTTTGTGGAGATGTAGAGTAAAAAGAAAAGTACACAATACATGTAAATAGAAAATAGCTCAGGATTTTAGATTGGCCCAGAAATTTCAACATTTCTCTAAGAGAAGCCCTCCAAATAGGGGAAAAATACAAAAATGAAAATTCTCAATTAAATATTTGAAAAAAAATCCAGAAGCAACCTTCTAAGTTAAAAAGACTCGTTATTACTCTCCATGCTACCCAATGCGTGAAAACACTTGTGATACTAATATATTTTGAAAAAAACATAGTAAATATAGTAAAAGAGAAGATTCTATAAACTACCCAGTAGTATAAATGGGCAAAAAATAGACACACAAAATATGAGGAGGAAAAACTGATTTTGAAGTCTGAAAAGCATGACTGGAAAGTAGAAGGAAGTGAAGCAATGCATGTGAAAGAAAATGATGTCCAAACTTGAATCTAAACCTAACGAAAGAATGGGTTGTGAAGCGCACATTTTCTGACAAATAAAGACCACACCATTTTAGTTCTCATGTTCTCTTTATCAGGAAGCTCCTGGGTATTTGTGCCATTGAAATTAGAGAATAAAATAAGACAGGAAAGCAGGGGAAGCCAGAATGGGGCATTCAATTCAAAAGACAGATAAAAGGATCCCTAGAATGGCAGAGAAAATTCCAGAAAAACAGCTATGCAGCAGGGCTTAGTAAGGAGCCAGTGTAAGCAGAAGGAAACTAGTCACCAACAAAAGAAAACCAAGTGAAAATTTTAAAATGGTTTCCTAGAGACACATATTTAAAGGAAGCACATGAAAAATGCAATCAATAAATTCAAAAAATAGGAAAGGGAACATAATTATAAACAGTCCATTAATAATGTAAGGCATTAATTAAATGATTTTTAATTCAACTAAGCATGCAATGGTATTATATTGAGAAGAATGGATCGGGGAAGTAGAGGAAATGGTAGTTCAGATAATCCTTTCACTGTAACAAAAAGTGAAAATATAATGCCTAGGGTTGACTGAATTTAAAAAATAGCAATATACACAAATTTGTTAACAAAGTATAGAGAGCAAATGCCACAGGAAAAAAAGTACTCAAAAGTAGTTTCCTCTGAGGAGGATAACCAGTGGGAGTGAGGAAAATTAGAGCAGATAGAATAAAATTATTTGGGTAAGTGTTTTTTAATATGTTGATCCTATAAAATCTTTTTGTATGTATCTTTTAAAATAATTAAAATAATATTTAGAGAAAAGGAAAGAAATATCTACCAAGTCATAAAATGGGCAAAGCCATCCTCTGTATATACATTCTTTTAGGAAAAGTCTTTATTTTTGTAATTCCAAAAATAGTGTTGCTGTTCATTAGTACGACAGTTGTTTCACTCTTGAATTATACAGTGTGTAGTTTGGAAGAGAAAGACAGCCGATGAAGGCTAGAACTTTACCCTATTATGTGTGGTCTGAATGAAATCAGGTGTCACTGCCCTCTGGATTTCTTTTTTCTTTTTTTTTTTTCTATATCCTTTTATTGGTACATTTTAGGTGTACAATATAATGACATTCATCATTGAAGATATGCACCTTTACATAGTCTCTTGGTTCTTATTTTTCCCCCCTCCCCTGCCCTCCCTTCAACCCCTCCACCCCTCCCTATTTACAAAGACTTTGTTTCCATGTTTTCATTTTCTCATATTAATTCCATTCTCTTCTTTCCTTTCCCCTACCCCTCCCACTTCCCCCTCCCCTTTGCCCCTTTTCTTCCTGTTTCACATTATTTATTATATTTTTAGTCCTTATTTACACTTTCAGTTTCTCACATTAGAGAAACTATTCAGTATTTACACGTGTGTCCTGTTTATTTCACTTAAGAGTATCGCCTCAATGTGCATCCATTTAGCAATAAATGTCTCTATGGATTTCTTAAAGATACTCTTCAGGCTGTTCTCAGAGGCATCTCCTTGAACACTGCACTGTTTGACCAAACCTAGAATGACAGTAGCGGTAGCGATGAGACTTTTGAATGAAAGTTAGCATCCTCTGTGCAAGGATACAGCATATCACAATCCACTGAACCACTGGGAGCACATACTG